GTTCTAAGTCTTCGAGGGGGCGTTCTAAGTCTTCGAGGGGGGGCGTTCTACGTCTTCGAGGAGGGCGTTCTAAGTCTTCGAGAAGGGAATTCGAAGTCTTCGAGGGGGCATTCTAAATGTTCGAGGGGGCGTTCTCAGTCTTGGAAAGGATTTCTAAGTCTTCGAGAGGGTTCGTTCTAAGTCTTGGAGGGGGCGTTCTAAGACTTCGGGGGGCGTTCTAAGTCTTCGAGGGGGCGTTTCTAAGTTTTTGGAGGGGGGGGGAGGGGGGGGAGGGGACATTCTAAGTCTTCGAAGGGATTCTAAGTCTTCGAGGGGCATTCTAATTCTTCGAGGGGGGCGTTCAAATTCTTCGAGGGGGGCGTTCTAAGTCTTCGAGGGGGGCGTCCGTCATAAGTCTTCCGAGGGGGGCGTTCCTAAGTCTTCGAGGGGGCGTTCTAAGTCTTCCGGGGGGCGTTCTAAGTCTTCGAAGGGGGGCGTTCTAAGTCTTCGAGGGGGGCGTTCTAAGTCTTCGAGGGGGCGTTCTACGTCTTCGAGGGGGCGATTCTAAGTCTTCGAGGGGGGCGTTCTAATGTCTTCGAGGGGGCCGTTCTAAGTCTTCGAGGGGGGGCGTTCTAAGTCTTCGAGGGGGGGCGTTCTAAGTCTTCGAGGGGGCGTTCTAAGTCTTCGAGGGGCGTTCTAAGTCTTCGAGGGGGGCGTTCTAAGTCTTCGAGGGGGGCGTTCTACGTCTTCGAGGAAGGCGTTCTATGTCTTCGGGGGGCGTTCTAAGTCTTCGGGGGAGGCGTTCTAAGTCTTGGAGGGGAGCGTTCTAAGTCTTCGAGGGAGCATTCTAAATTTTCGAGGGGGCGTTCTAAATGTTCGAGGGGGCATTCTAAGTCTTGGAAAGGATTCTAAGTCTTCGAGTGGGCATTCTAAGTCTTCGAGGGGCGAGGGGACATTCTAAGTCTTCGAAGGGATTCTAAGTCTTCGAGGGGGCATTCTGAATCTTCGACTGGGTATTCTAAGTCTTCGACGGGGCGTTCTAAGTCTTCGAAGGGGGCGTTCCAAGTCTTCGAGGGGGCGTTCTAAGTCTTCGAGGGGGCGATTCTAAGTCTTCGAGGGGGGCGTTCTATGTCTTCGAGAGGGGCGTTCTAAGTCTTGGAAAGGATTCTAAGTCTTCGAGGGGGGCGTTCTAAGTCTTCGAGGGGGGCGTTCTACGTCTTCGAGGAGGGCGTTCTGAGTCTTCGAGAAGGGAATTCGAAGTCTTCGAGGGGGCATTCTAAATGTTCGAGGGGGCGTTCTAAGTCTTGGAAAGGATTCTAAGTCTTCGAGGGCGCGTTCTAAGTCTTCGAGGGGGCGTTCTAAGTCTTCGTGGGGGCGTTCTAAGTCTTCGAGGGGGCGTTCTAAGTCTTCTTGGGGGGAAAGGGGACATTCTAAGACTTCGAGGGGGGCGTTCTAAGTCTTCGAGGGGCCGTTCTAAGTCTAAGAGGGGGCGTTCTTAGTCTTAGAGGGACGAGGGGACATACTAAGTCTTCGAAGGTGCGATCAAAGTCTTCGAGGGGGGCGTTTTAAGTCTTCGAGTGGGGCGTCATAAGTCTCGAGGGGGCGTCTAAGTCTTCGAGGGGGCGTTCTAAGTCTTCGAGGGGGCGTTCTAAGTTTCCGCGGGGGCGCTCTAAGTCTTCGAAGAGGGCGTTCTAAGTCTTCGAGGGGGCGTTCTAAGTCTTCGAGCGGGGGCGATCTAAGTCTTCGAGGGGGGCGTTCTATGTGTTCGAGGGGGCCGTTCTAAGTCTTCGAGGGGGGCGTTCTAAGTCTTCGAGGGGACGTTCTAAGTCTTCGAGGGGGGGGCGTTCTAAGTCTTCGCGGGGGCGTTCTAAGTCTTCGAAGGGGGCGTTCTAAGTCTTCGAGGGGGGCGCTCTAAGTCTTCGAGAGGGTCGTTCTAAGTTTTGGAGGGTGGCGTTCTAAGACTTCGGGGGGCGGTCTAAGTCTTCTAAGGGGGCGTTCTAAGTTTGGAGGGGGGGGAGGGGACATTGTAAGTCTTCGAAGGGATTCTAAGTCTTCGAGGGGGCATTCTAATTCTTCGAGGGGGGGCGATCAAAGTCTTCGAGGGGGGCGTTCTAAGTCTTCGAGGGGGGCGTCATAAGTCTCCGAGGGGGGCGTCCTAAGTCTTCGAGGGGGCGTGCTAAGTCTCCGGGGGGGCGTTCTAAGTCTTCGCGGGGGGGCGTTCTAAGTCTTCGAAGGGGGCGTTCTAAGTCTTAGAGGGGGGCGTTCTAAGTCTTCGAGCGGGGGGCTTTCTACGTCTTCGAGGGGGGGCGATCTAAGTCTTCGGGGGGCGTTCTATGTCTTCGAGGGGGCCGTTCTAAGTCTTCGAGGGGGCGTTCTAAGTCTTCGAGTGGGGGCGTTCTACGTCTTCGAGGAGGGCGTTCTAAGTCTTCGAGAAGGGAATTCTATGTCTTCGAGGGGGGGGCATTCTAAATGTTCGAGGGGGCGTTTCTAAGTCTTCGAAGGGGCGATTCTAAGTCTTCGAGGGGGGCGTTTCTAAGTCTTCGAGGGGGGGGGGGGCGTTCTAAGTCTTCGAGGGAGGGCGTTCTAAGTCTTCGAGGGGGGTTTCTAAGTCTTCGAGGGGGGGGGCGTTCTAAGTCTCGAGGGGGGCGTTCTAAGTCTTCGAGGGGGCGTTCTAAGTCTTCGAAGGGGGCGTTCCAAGTCTTCGAGTGGGCGTTCTAAGTCTTCGAGCGGGGCGGTCTAAGTCTTCGAGGGGGCGATCTAAGTCTTCGAAGGGGCGTTCTATGTCTTCGAGGGGGCCGTTCTAAGTCTTCGAGGGGGGGCGTTCTAAGTCTTCGAGTGGGGGCGTTCTACGTCTTCGAGGAGGGCGTTCTAAGTCTTCGAGAAGGGAATTCTATGTCTTCGAGGGGGCATTCTAAATGTTCGAGGCGGCGTTCTAAGTCTTGGAAAGGATTCTAAGTCTTCGAGGAGGGCGTTCTAAGTCTTCGAGGGGGGGCGTTCTACATCTTCGAGGAGGGCGTTCTAAGTCTTGGAAAGGATTCTAAGTCTTCGAGGGGGGCGTTCTACATCTTCGAGGAGCGTTCTAAGTCTTCGAGAAGGGAAATCGAAGTATTCGAGGGGGCGTTCTAAATGTTCGAGGGGGCGTTCTAAGTCTTGGAAAGGATTCTAAGTCTTCGAGGGCGCGTTCTAAGTCTTCGAGGGGGGCGTTCGTTTCGAAGTCTTCGAGGGGGCGTTCTAAGTCTTCTTAGGGGAAGGGACATTCTAAGTCTTCGAGGGGGCGTTCTAAGTCTTCGAGGGGGCGTTCTAACTCTTCGAGGGGGGCGTTCTAAGTTTTCGAGGGGGGGCGTTCTAAGTCTTCGAGGGCGTTCTAAGTTCTAAGAGGGGGCTTCTTAGTCTTCGAGGGGGCATTCTAAGTCTTCGAGGGGGGCGTTCTAAGTCTTCGAGGGGGCGTTCTAAGTCTTCGAGGAGGGGCGTTCTAAGTCTTCGAGGGGGGGTTCCTAAGTCTTCGAGGGGGCGTTGCTAAGTCTTCGAGGGGGGGCGTTCTAAGTCTTCGAGGGGGGGCGTCTAAGTCTTCGAGGGGGCGTTCTAAGTCTTCGAGGGGGCGTTCTAAGTCTTCGAGGGGGGCGTTCTAAGTCTTCGCGGGGGCCGTTCTAAGTCTTCGAGGGGGGGCGTTCTAAGTCTTCGAGGGGGGCGTTCTACGTCTTCTAGGAAGGCGTTCTAAGTCTTCGGGGGCGTTCTAAGTCTTCGGGGGGCGTTCTAAGTCTTCGAGGGGGCGTTCTAGTCTTCGAGGAGGGCGTTTCTAAGTCTTCGAGGGGCGTTCTAAGTCTTCGAGGGGGGCGTCTAATTTCTGAGGGGGCGTCTAAGTCTTCGAGGGGGGCGTTCTAAGTCTTCGAGGGGGGCGTTCTAAGTCTTCGCGGGGGCGTTCTAAGTCTTCGCGGGGGCGTTCTAAGTCTTCGAAGGGGCGTTCTATTCGAAGTCTTCGAGGGGGCATTCTAAATGTTCGAGGGGGCGTTCTAAGTCTTGGAAAGGATTCTAAGTCTTCGAGGGGCGCGTTCTAAGTTTTCGAGGGGGGCGTTCTAAGTCTTCGGGGGGCGTTCTAAGTCTTCGGGGGCGTTCTAAGTTCTTGGGGGAGGGGGCTTCTAAGTTCGAGGGGGGGCGTTCTAAGTCTTCGAGGGGGCGTTCTAAGTCTTTCGAGGGGGGGGGGGGCGATCTAAGTCTTCGAGGGGGGCGTTCTATGTCTTCGAGGGGGGCGTTCTAAGTCTTCGAGGGGGGCGTTCTAAGTCTTCGAGTGGGGGGCGTTCTACGTCTTCGAGGGAGGGCGTTCTAAGTCTTCGAGAAGGGAATTCTCTATGTCTTCGAGGGGGCATTCTAAATGTTCGAGGGGGTTTCTAAGTCTTGGAAAGGATTCTAAGTCTTCGAGGGGGCGTTCTAAGTCTTCGAGGGGGGGCGTTCTAAGTCTTCGAGGGGGGCGTTCTACGTCTTCGAGGAGGGCGTTCTAAGTCTTCGAGAAGGGAATTCGAAGTCTTCGAGGGGGCATTCTAAATGTTCGAGGGGGCGTTCTAAGTCTTGGGAAAGGATTCTAAGTCTTCGAGGAGGGCGTTCTAAGTCTTGGGGGGCGTTCTAGTCTTCGGGGGGCGTTCTAAGTCTTCGAGGGGGCGTTCTAAGTCTTCGAGGGGAGGGGCATTCTAAGTCTTCGAAGGGGATTCTAAGTCTTCGAGGGGGGGGCATTCTTAGTCTTCGAGGGGGCGTTCTAAGTCTTCGAGGGGGGGCGTTCTAAGTCTTCGAGGGGGGGGCGTTCTAAGTCTTCGAGGGGGCGTTCTAAGTCTTCGAGGGGGCGTTCTAAGTCTTCGGGGGGGCGTTCTAAGTCTTCGAAGGGGGCGTTCTAAGTCTTCGAGGGGGCGTTCTAAGTCTTCGAGGGGGCATTCTAAGTCTTCGAGGGGGCGATTCTAAGTCTTCGAGGGGGCGTTCTAAGTCTTCGAGGGGGCGGTTCGTTAAGTCTTCGAGGGGGGCGTTCTAAGTCTTCGAGGGGATTCTAAGTCTTCGAGGGGGCATTCTGAATCTTCGACTGGGTATTCTAAGTCTTCGACGGGGCGTTCTAAGTCTTCGAAGGGGGCGTTCCAAGTCTTCGAGGGGGCGTTCTAAGTCTTCGAGGGGGCGATCTAAGTCTTCGAGGGGGCGTTCTATGTCTTCGAGGGGCGTTCTAAGTCTTGGAAAAGGATTCTAAGTCTTCGAGGGGGGCGTTTCTAAGTCTTCGAGGGGGGGGGCGTTCTACGTCTTCGAGGAGGGCGTTCTGAGTCTTCGAGAAGGGAATTCGAAGTCTTCGAGGGGGCATTCTAAATGTTCGAGGGGGCGTTCTAAGTCTTGGAAAGGATTCTAAGTCTTCGAGGGCGCGTTCTAAGTCTTCGAGGGGGCGTTCTAAGTCTTCGGGGGGCGTTCTAAGTCTTCGAGGGGGGCGTTCTAAGTCTTCTGGGGGGAAAGGGGGACATTCTAAGACTTCGAGGGGGCGTTCTAAGTCTTCGAGGGGCCGTTCTAAGTCTAAGAGGGGGCGTTCTTAGTCTTCGAGGGGGAGGGGACATTCTAAGTCTTCGAAGGGGCGATCAAAGTCTTCGAGGGGGGCGTTTAAGTCTTCGAGGGGGCGTTCATAAGTCTCGAGGGGGCGTTCTAAGTCTTCGAGGGGGCGTTGCTAAGTCTTCGAGGGGGCGTTCTAAGTCTTCGCGGGGGCGTTCTAAGTCTTCGAAGAGGGCGTTCTAAGTCTTCGAGGGGGCGTTCTAAGTCTTCGAAGGGGCGTTCTAAGTCTTCGAGGGGGCGTTCTAAGTCTTCGAGGGGGCCGTTCTAAGTCTTCGAGGGGGGCGTTCTAAGTCTTCGAGGGGCCGTTCTAAGTCTTCGAGGGGCGGTTTCTAAGTCTTCGAGGGGGCGTTCTAAGTCTTCGAGGGGGGAGGGGGAGGGGGCTTCTAAGTCTTCGAAGGGGATTCTAAGTCTTCGAGGGGGCATTCTTATCTCTTCGAGGGGGCGTTCAAAGTCTTCGAGGGGGGCGTTCTAAGTCTTCGAGGGGGGCGTTCTAAGTCTCGAGGGGGGCGTCTAAGTCTTCGAAGGGGGCGTTCTAAGTCTTCGGGGGGGCGTTCTAAGTCTTCGAGGGGGCGTTCTAAGTCTTCGAAGGGGGCGTTCTAAGTCTTCGAGGGGCGTTCTAAGTCTTCGAGCGGGGCGTTCTACGTCTTCGAGGGGGCGATTCTAAGTCTTCGAGGGGGGCGTTCTAAGTCTTCGAGGGGGCCGTTCTAAGTCTTCGGGGGGCGTTCTAAGTCTTCGAAGGGGGGCGTTCTACGTCTTCGAGGAGGGCGTTCTAAGTCTTCGAGAAGGGAATTCTATGTCTTCGAGGGGGCATTCTAAATGTTCGAGGGGGCGTTCTAAGTCTTGGAAAGGATTCTAAGTCTCGAGGGGGGAGTTCTAGTTCGAGGGGGCGTTATAAGTCTTCGAAAGGGAATTCGAAGTCTCGAGGGGGCTTCATTCAAGAGCGGGGGGGGGTTGGAAAGGCAAAAGGGGCACAAAGGCGACAGGCAGGCATGGCAAGGAAAGGCAAGGCCACAGGGGAGAGGCGACAGGCAGGAACTGATGCAAAAAGCAGGGCCAAGGCGAGGGCAGGCACCAGGGGCAGGCACAAAGGCCAGCCAGGCAGGACACACAACAGGCAGTGAAGGAGGCAGGCAGGAGGCAGCACAGGAAAGACCACAAGGCAACACACAGCAGGCGCAACCGACGAGGGGCCACAGGCAGGCAGGGCAGGCAGCGACACCAGGCGCCAGTATTAACCAGGAGGCCACACACACAGCAGCGCCAGCATAGGCACAGGCAGAGGAGCAGGACAGACAGGAGGCGCAGGGCAGTCACACAAACAGGCACCAGGCAGGGAGCCAGGCAGGGCAGGCCCACAGGGAGGTCAGGAGCCAGACAAAAGGAGAGGGCAAGGGCGCGAACCACACAGCGCACACCAGGCGGGGGGTAGAAGGACAAGGCGGCACAAGCAGCAGGACAAAGAGGAGAGAGCAAGCAGGGGGAGCATGAAGGCAAGGCATTATCTAATTCACACAGTAATTATGTACATACAAAACAATATTTCTACACACATTCTTATATTACCACATTACATGTCCATGCACAGGACAAGAGGACAGCAAAGAGGAACAGAGAGCACAGGAAGGCACAGAGGCAGGGACCACACAACACCTAGGCGCAGGGACAAGCAAGGAAAAGGCGACCAGGCAAGGCAAAGGCAGGCAAGAGGCCACCTACACAGGACAGCACAACACAGGACAGGCGCAGGGGCAACAGGGGGGGGGTGGTGGGAGTTTGGCCACCAGGCGAGTCTAAACAGCAGTCAGGAAGGGGGGCAGGCACAGGCAGGGCACACAAGGCCTAGCAGGGAGGAGTGCAGGCAGGCCAAGGGCAGCGAACCGGAAGGCTCAGGACAGGGAGAGGCGACACCAGGAAGTGACACAGGCGTCAGGCACCAGGGCACAAACAGGGCAGCAGCACAAGGGAACCCCAGGCGAAACATAGATCCAGGGTGGCAAGAGGCAGGCGCCAGACAGCAGGCACAGAGGCAAGGGGCAGGCGAGGGACAAACACAGCAGCAGGCTCAGGAGGCGAGGCCAGGAGGAGGAGGAAGGCAGGAGGGCGCCAGGAGGAGGCACAGGGAAGGTGAGGCAGGCCAGGCGCATGGATGGCGCAAGGGGCGCACGGCAGGCACCAGGCAAAACACCAGGGAGGCAGGGGCCAGGCGACCAGGGCAGGCAGGCAGGTAGAGGAAGAGGCCAGGTAAAGGTCAAGGCGTAAGGGGCTAAGAGAAGGCGGCAGGCGGGCGAACCAGGCGAAGGGCCAGGAAGCAGGCAGGAACAGGCAGCAGAGGAGGGAACATGGGACTAGAAGCACAGGATAATCGGGACAGGCAGGAAGGAGGACAGGGATACAGGCAGGCGAGGACACAGGCGCAAGGGCAACAGGAGGAAGAGAGGGGCGAAAACAACAGACAGGGGCGCCAGGGAGCAGGCAGAGGCGCAGGCACACAGGGCACTACAACAAGGTAATTGGTAGGAATGCAGGGAAGGCAAAAGGAGAAAAGGTAAAAGGGCGAGGGAGCAGACAGGCTACACAGGCACAACAGCAGAGGACAGGAGGAGCACAAAAGCTACCCAAGGGGACAGGCAACAGGCAGCATCAGTAAGCACAGGGAGAGAGGGGGCAACACCCAAGGACAAGGAGGGCAGGCAAAGGGTTAGGCGAGGCACAGGAGAGTGAGGACAGGAAAAGCACAGACACAGCACACTACCAACACAGGCGGCGCACACCACACAGCAGGAGGCAGGGCAGGGCAAGGGCAGGCAGCATAAGGAGGAAGGCAGCAACAGCACAGGGCAGCCACGGTACCAGGCCAAGATCAGCAGGCAGGAAAGAATGGGCGACACAGGACACAGGAACAGAGGCAGGACAGCAAAGAAGGACAACACCAAGGAGACACAAGGCAAAGGGCCAGAAAGGAAACAGGCAGCGAGGCCACAAAGCAGCGGCACACAAACAGCACAGGAGGCGAGAACAGGCATGGGCGCAGGCTAGGAGCGGGCAGGCAACCCAGACCAGGCGAAGAGAAGCAGGCAGGCACAGGCAAGGCAAGGCAGGCAGAGGCACAGGTATGAAACCAGGCAAGGCGGGCAGCACCAGGCGTAGGTACCAGGCAGAGGAGCAGGAGGGCGCAGGGGGGGCGAGGCAGGCTCCAAGGCTGGCAGAGGGAGGAGTGCACAGGACCGGCAACAGCAGGACCAGGGGAATGAGGCCCACATCGCACAGGGCAGGAGCAGGCCAGGCAGGCGGACAGGCAGGCGCCGGAGGACAAGCACCACAGGAGAGGAGGCGAGGGGGGGAGGAGGGCGGCGAAAAGGGCAGAGGCAAGGGGAGGGAAGAGGCGGAGGAGGCGGAAAGGGAAGGGGAAGGCGGGGAGGGAGGCGGAGGCGAAAGAGAAAGGGCGGAGGAAGGAGGAGGGAGGGGCGAGGCGAATGCGGAGGCGAGGGGAGGGGAGGGAGGAGGATGGGGAGAGGGCAAAGATAGAAGCGGAAAAGGAGGGAGGAGGGGGCGAAGGAGGGAAGGGGTCAAAGGGGGGAGGAGGCAAAAGGAAGGGGTAGGGGAGGGGAAGGGGGGGGGGGGGGGGGGGGGGGGGGGGTGGAGGGGGGGGGGGGGGAGGAGGGAAGGGAAGGAAGGCGAAGGCGAGGGAGGGCGCGGGGAGAGGGGGAGGGGAGGAGTACGGAGGAGTGATAGGGAGTTGGGGGTTCCCTATCGGTTGCGCCCCCGTCTGTAACCCTTATTCCCTGCTTGTCTCTCATTTGTCTTCCTCCCTGCCTTCCCCTCGGCCTTCTATTATTCCTCTCTTCCCCGCCCGCCTGTTCCCCCTTCCGATTTTTTTTTCTCTTCTATCTCCTTCCTTTGTACGGTTTCTTTGTTCTGCTTTGTGCTGTTTATTACCCTTATGTGTTTTCTGCTCTTTTTCTGCTGGACCTATATCCTTTGTGCCCTTCCGTTACTCTTACCTTTGGTCGTCTTGTGTTGCTCGCATTTTTTTGTTTGGCCCACAGCACACACCAAGGGGCACAGGCGAAACAGGAGGACAGGCAGGCGAACAGGAGGCAGCATAGAAGGCCAAACAGGGCAGGAAGACACCCACAGGAGGCAGGACAGGGCGGACAGGCACAGACAAGGGAGGCAGACAGTGACCGAGCAAGCACAGCAGGCAAAAGATCAGAGGAGGCAAGGCCGACGGCGATAAGAGGCGGGAGGGGAAGGGCGGAGGCATGGAAGGGGGAGGCGAAGGGGAAGGACATGGAGGCGGGGAATGGCGGAGAGGGGCAAGTGCGGGGCGAGGTGAGAGGGCGGGGGAGGAGGCGGCGGAGAGGGAGGGGGAGGCGGCAGGCGGGAGGCGAGGGTCGGGGGGGGCGAGGCGAAGGGAGGGGGGATGGAGGGGGGAGGTCAAAGGCGAAAGGGAGGGAGGGATGGCAGAGGAGGCAAGGAAGGCAAGGAAACCAAGCGCAGGCAACCCAGGCAAAGAACAGGACAGGACGCACAGGCCACAGACACAGGGCAGGCTAGCGAATCAGGACAGCACCGGCACGGCGGCAAACAGGCACAGAGGCCAAGGCGAACACTAGGCGAATGGCAGGAGGGAAGGCAAGGCGCAAGCAGGCACAGGGCCAGGCAGGGCAAAAACAGCAGGCACCAGGCAGTGAAAGCACCATGCGAGACCAAGGAACAGGCGACGACCAGGCTAGGCAGGCGAACGGCGACACAGGACAGGCGCTGACCAAGGAGAACAGATGGCGAACAAGGACAGGACAGGTCAGCAACAGGCAGCAAGAAGGCCACAGTCACACACCAGAGGCAGGACAGGCAGGAGGCAGGCGCCACGGAGAGGCACAAGCCAGGTCACAGGAGGGCATTTGCTAATGTTGTCGAGGGGGCGTTTTTTTTTTTGTTTCTTTTTGTTTGTTTGTTTTTTTTTGTTTTCTTTTCTTTTTTTCTA